AAAAAAAAAAAACAAACTCACTGGTCTTCCAAATTGAAATCAATAATAATTCATTCATGATAACCTAAAATAATGGGGGCACTCTTTTTTACTGCATTATTCAAGAAATGTCAGCCAGACGCATTGGATTATTGATGACGAGCAAATGGGTGAAGCATTTCTTGAGCTTAAAGCAAATTCTTCAATCTTTTTATCACTTTTTCTAATTTATGGTAATAATACTAATTTTGCGCAATCCTTTTGCATAAAATATTTGGCGCCAATATCCTTCTCATTTGTCAGAGTGATAGTTACAAGTTTCATAAGTTCCATGTTGCTGGCCTAGAAGATATTGATGTATAATCTTTTGATTTTTTAGCATCCTTTTTAGAGATCAAACTATTAACCCATCATCTTTTTATCTTATGTATATTCTAAATATGTTTCTTCAGGTTCGGATGCTCGGTTCCAGATGGCCCTTTCTGGTTGAGATTCAGAATGCACGTCAATTTTTTCTTATGTAATAATAAAGGACATTCAAATGAAAATAAATAGCCTTGAGACTCAATTTGTGAATCTTCGAATATTTTGATTATGCAGTGACTTTTATCTTCTAAACGATTTGTTATAGCATATGTGTTGCTTGGACTTCTAGGTGAGAGTAAATAATCTCAAGTTTTTAGGAAACCATGGTTGGGCATTAATTCGTGAAAGAAAAGCAGAGAAGCAGGCAATGATTACATGTCTATTATATATTTACACTAGGATTCCCCAAAATCGGTCGATTTACACTAAGATTCCCAAAATTTTCTCATGTTTAAAATGAAGTCCCGAAATATTGGACTTTGAAGGAGATGTAAAGAGATTGAAATAAATTCACTTCACTGAACTTCAGGTGGTTGAGGATCTCCTGCCGAAGGCGGCCACCAGGCGACGTCGGACCACAAAACTGACTGCGATGCGAAATCGAGAAGATCGACCCCAGGGTGACGGAGAGTTGTTGGAGGGAGGCGGGGAGTTTTCAGGTGAGAAATTGAAGAAAATCAAAAGTTTGAAGTAATTTAACGTTCGATTTCTCAGGTTTTTCATTTGATTTCACCATTAAAGCATTTGGAGTTCTGTATGCATTCAACCTCGCAGTTTAGAATTCGGCGATATGTTTGTAATTTTTCCTCATATTCAGCAAAAAAAAAGTTTGTTCAGGAGATCCACAGTTTCTTGTTTTTGTTTTTGTTTTCCAGATAGGGAGAAAACAATAGTGCCACTGGCCAAATGGGCGGGGACAAATGTAAGGCCACCTGCTACCACCACAATCCCGGTCACACCGCTGTGAGACAACTAGCCCCCGCTTTTGTGTGTGTGTTTGGGGGGAAGGTTTCTTTGTTAGTGTTTCTACTATCACCTTGACTGTGTCGAAAGTTGAGATATACTTTTTTTATATTTAAATGTTGGAAAGAGGGTTAAAAGATGGTGGATAGCAGCATAGGGGTTTCTATTTCTTGCTTTACAGAGTGCTCAAACATGGGATTGTATTTACTTTACTTTTGGGATTTTTTTTTTTAAGTTAAAAAAGGTAAATCCTTTCTTATGTGTAACTGCAGGCCATGCTCTTGTGGTTTTGCATAAACCCACTTGCCCATGTTTCTGTTTTATAACTTGTGACTGTCTTCTTCAATGGGTTGGGGGTGTAAATTCATGTAACAGACATATCTTGAAGGTTGTATTTGAAATT